ATATATATTTTTTTTTTTTTTAAATGTATGTATGTATTAAAACCACCACTCTTCCGTCAGTTTCTCATGTTGTGGTGGTTTGTGTGTTGCTGTGAGGCTGGAAGCTATACCACTGGTATTTCAAATGCCAGCAGGATCACCCAAGGTGAAGAAGTTTCAGCGAAGCTTCCAGACTAAGAGACTGGGAAGAAGGACATGGTGATCCACTTGGCCAGTGAAAATCTTATGGACAGGAGCAGGACAGTGTCTGATATAGTGCTGGAAGATAAGGCCCTCAGATTGGAAAGCATTCAAAACATGACTGGGAAGAGCTGCCTCCTAATGACATGGATGGAATAAAGCTTTCAGGACCTTCATTTGCTCATGTGGCATGACTCAAAATGAGAAAAAACAACTGTAAATATCCATTAATAACTGGAATGGGGAATATATGAAATATGAATCTAGGAAAATGAGAAGTTGTCAAAAATGAAATGGAAACTTGAAGATACATTTTAAGATCTATCCAGAAATACAACACCGTCAGTGATAGGACAATATCCATATGCCCATACAGAAGACCAGCTAATGTGACTATTATTTAAATTTATGCACCAACTGCTCATGCCAAAGAAAAAGAAATTGAAGATTTTTTACCAACTTCTGCAGATTGAAACTGATTAAACTTGCAATCAAGATGCATTGATAATTACTGGTGATTAGAAAGCAAAAGATGGAAAAAAAGAAGAGAGAAGAAGGTCTTGATGATAGAGATGATGAGAGAGATTGCATGAAAAAATTTTGCAAGACCAATGACATATATTCATTGGGAATACCTTTTTTCAACAATATAAACAGCAACTACACACATGGACCTCACTGGATGAGATACACAGGAATCAAATCAACTACATCTGTGGAAAGACACGATGGAGAAACTAGATATAATCAATTAGAATAAGGCAAGAGGCTGTCTGAAGAACAGACGATTAATTGCTCATATATAAGTTCAAGTTGAAGCTGAAGAAAATTAATTTAGAGTCTAAATTTAGAGACCATCTCAGGAATAGATTCAACATATTGAACATTCATGACTCAAGATCAGATGAGTTTTGGGATGACATCAAGGGCAACATACATGAAAAAAGCAAAAGGTCATTAAAAAAACTCCATGATAAGTCAGGGACCACATGTAATGCTGTTTTTTATGATCTAGGAATATTTATAATGCTCAAGCATCTAATCACTTTCTTTGTGCATTGTCATACATACATAAAAGAACATACATTCAATAATATTTACCTAATTCAATTTCCTTCTCTATTTCCAATACAGGCAGTGGTCCATCTTCTACAAAAAACTCTGGAGAGGTGCTTAACTCTGGTAGGGATTTTAATAGTTGTGTGCGATGCTGTGAACACCAAGGTGACTGAGTAGGATTTTCTGGGGAAAAAGGAAAAAAGCTGAAAAATCATCACCTAAAAAGCCTAATGCTTAAAATGGATATTTTAATTGTTGTATGCCATCTAGTAGATTCCAACTCATGATGACCCTATAGGACATGGTAGAACTGCTCCACAGGATTTCATGGGCTGTAATCTTGACTTTTCATGGGCGCAGATTGTAAAGTCTTTTGTACCACAGCTGGGAGACAGCTGGTAGGTTCAAACTGCCAACCTTTTGATGAGCAGCCAAGAGCTTAACCATTATCCCACCAGAGCTCCAGATATTTTAAGTAAAGAAAAAATTATCAAAATAAAACAAAACAAAAAGCCCTGTTTGTCACCAAGTCATTTCCAACCAAGGTACTGAAGGGAAAAAATTCAAGCTGCACTAAAGTGATTAGCAAAAACTGGACTATAACTAGACTAGAACTGCTGCAAAGAGTTTCTAATCCTGTAATCTTTATGGAAGTAGACTGCCACATCTGTCTCTCATGGAGTGGCTGGTGGGTTCAAACCCTTGAGCCTACAGTTAGCAACTGAGTGCTTAACCACTGTGCCACCAAGGCTCCTATGACATTACAATAGAGGGGGAGAAAATAAGATAACATAATTAATACTACTAGTCTAACAACACTTGGGAACTCTGGTAGTATAGTGCCTAAGGCACTTGACTGCTAACCAGAAGGCTGGTAGTTCAAACCCACCAGCCTCTCCTCAGAAGGAAGGTTGGGCAATGTATTTCTGTAGTGATACCACCTCGGAACCCAAGGAGGGGTCTCTATGAGTCGGGTCAATAGAAGTGGGTGGGTAAAACAACACTCACCTGTCACGGGCCTTTATGATACTATGTTCAGTAGTGGTAATTTATTCTAGCATTTCAAAAGGTATGGCAACTTGCCAATAGACTCCAACAGCATATCAAGAAAATCATTCATCATGACCAAGTGGGGTTCATACCAGGTATGCA